ACCACCTCAGCAGCACCTGAACAGCTCGAGAAAGTGCAGGTTGCTCAGGTGACTCGCAGCCCCGCGGCCATGTACCCCAAAGAGTGGGTGTTAGATATCTAAAGATATAGATGTCAACCACCAACACTTCAAGCCTGTGAAAACTTATATAAGTGCTGGTGAGCTGCAGAGCTTGTTTGGTAAACAATTTCCTAATTCTTCTCTACTAAGGGATGGAATCAAAGAAATGCACAAATACCAGTAGGTCACTACTGAGGCAACTGAGGCCTACAGCCATCAGGGAGGACCAGCCTGGAATTTAGGAGGTACTTATGGGATCTGCATACTACTAATGGGATATTACAGCTGGTTTCTTTAAACCATACCCTCCAGTGTGGGGGTTGTGAATGTAAAGCAGACATTCAGCAGCCATCTGTAGCTATGGGTTGCTGTCCTTGGATTGAAGCAACCCAAGACCTAAGGTATTCAAAAAGAAATAAAATGTTTCTAGCTGACTGCAGTTGTACCTATAGCCCCAGGTACTTGGGAGGCTGAAGCAGGAGGATTACACAGTCAAGGTGCTAGGTTCTATCTAGATGTCTTCTTAAAGCCTTGGGTGCTCAAGCTGGGCTTTGGGAGGTGACTGGAATACAGAGGCATGACACTACTCATCAGTGGATGAGTTTATAACTAAATGTGATTTGGAAGGGGAAGCCTGGTTAGAATGAGTGAGTCACTGGGGGCGTGGCCGAGAAGGAGGCATCTGCCTCCCTCCTCCCTTGATCCCTCTCTGCTCTATGTCTGCCATCCCATGGACTGTTGCTGCTCTACCTTGCCTCTCTGCCTTGGGGCTAGCAACTGAGAACTGAAACTTCTATAAACTGTGAGCCAGAATAGACCTCTCCTCCTCTAATTGACGTATCAGATATTCTTTCCCAGCATCAAGAAAGTGACTAAGACATAGGCCAGCCTGGGCAACCTAGTGAGACCCTATCTCAAAATATGAAAAAGGGCTGGGATATAGCTCAGAAACAGAGCTCTGGCCTGGCGTCAGTGAGGCCCTACATTCAATCCTCAGTATAAAAAAATAAAAAGTTTGCACTGAATATATACTATATGGTTTTATATGAGTCTTGAGTGTCCACAGATTTTGGTGTCTACAAAGGTCCTGGAACCAAACCAAGGGTCCTGTGACACTAAGGGAAGAGTGTAAATCAGACCCTACTCACCAGCAAGTGACCTTTTTAAGGATATAATCATGGCTTTCCCAGGTCTTTAGAAAAGGTTTTCTCCTTCTCCACAGGGACACAGTCAGGGAGGCAAAAAAATCTTCCTCTGGTTTTGGCTAACTTAACATTTTTTGAGTTGAAATATACTAGCAAATGAGATGGAATTTCCAAACAAAAGGGCAACCAGCACTGCCAGTTGTCTTTGAGACACATGGGACAGCCAAGTGCTTTTACCCCCACTCAGGTACCACAGTGTCGCTTTTGGTTTATATGACAGCCCAAGGACAGATGTTCTGTAAGAAGAAAATTGAGGTGCAGCGACCACTCGATGTGCAGCTATAAACCAGGCTCACGCATCCCTGTCACTCCGGCACACGCTTACTTTGAAAACAGGAGTTTTTCCGAATGCTGGCTCAGATGTGACACGTCAGGAAGATGAATGACGAAGTAGTTTGCCTCTGTCCAAACTATATCAGTGGCAGTGGCTCTGACGACACTATCACTTTCAGCTGGGATTGGTGTGGTTTCCCTTGGGTGTGGCAATTGTTCCACTAAATTTTCCTGTGACTTCCTTTGA